CAACGTAATTTTTGCTTATTTGATGTGAAAAAATGAACTATCCGATCTGTTCAAATGTGAAATTTTTAACAATCACTAACATACAGAAGACAATCAAAAAAGAAACAGAAGAAAAAGTGGGGACAATAATTAAATCGTTTTTCTATTGATATCCGCCGTTTAAACTGCTTCTTCTTCTTCTTCTTCTTCTTCTTATTCTTCTTCTGCAGTTTTCAATGTCGCAGGTTTCCACATTTCATTTGAAGAAAAGTCTAATAAAAAAAAAAAAAAAAAAAAAAGAAAAGGAATTATATCAAATCGTTACAAAAAATTTTCATCACTATCATTTTTTGCTACCACATTGTCCACATTTTTTTTCCATCTTTAATCTTTTCAATGCCATTTTATAAATCTCTTAACTTTTATAAGACTTTTCTGCTGCATTATCACCTGTTACAGTAATAACAGCTAAAAAGCAGTGGTTGGACTTAAAAAGGAAAAAAAAACTTGAACAAGCAAATTTCAATGATTTTTTTTGCCTCACTTTGCTTTTTTAAATGCCACTAAATTTCATTTAAAAATATATATATAAAAATATAATTAATAAGTATAAAATTGAAAATTATTAAAAATACAGAGAAAATAATTTATTTTAAATGTAAATGCAAAAAAAATTTTTTTTTATATGATGGTATATTTCTCTTTTTATAACTTATCACATTTTTTAGCATTTTTTAAACTTCAACTTCTTCCTTCTTTTTTTGCTTTTCTGTCTTTTCTTCCTTTTTTTTTTCGTTTTTTTGAACAACAATTATAACATTATCTTTTCTTTCAGCAACTTTTTTTTTTCGAATCTCTTTGGTTGTTTAGCAGCCTTTTTGCACAGTGTCTTTGTTAAGTGATTGTTTTGAAAAACGACAGTCGGCTGGTTGCACACAAATGAAACTTTAAAAAGCCAACAGAAAATGATTTTGTGCTGCCAACTTTTTGTTGCAGTGTTCACAGTGTTCCACATGAACGGCGAGTATCTGTATAAACTTTACACTTATTTGAAATTCAGATTCTTTTAATGATATAAATGTTGACAAACAAATTAACCTTTTTTTTTTTTTGTATTTATGTGCTTATCATTATTGTCATAAATATTTCTTTTATGCAAAATTAATAAATATGATTGATAGAAAACTGAGAGAATCAAATCAACTTTAGCTGACTTTATCTTTGTATAAGAATAAAAAATTAACAAAATTGAAAGAAAGGAACAAATAGTATTTTATAGATAAGAGTGAGAAGACTTATCTGTGAGTGTGTGTATGTGTTTGGTAAGGTATTTGGTGTTTCAATCAGCCTTTTGCTGCAACAATTAGTTAAATTTTCCGTTTTCAGTTTTCACCAAATCAGTCTCAACATTATTTATGCTTCTTTTTGATAGTTTTTCTTCAATGTTTCAATCAGCTATTCAAAAAAAAATTGGAAAAGAAAAAAAAAAAAGAAAGAAAGGTGAAAAACACAACAGATACAGTGTCAGCATCATTTCTGATAAATCTATTTTGCTTTGGTGTTGTTGCTGTTCCAATTTCACTTTTTTTTTTCGGTATCTTTGCTCAAAAAGGAGAATCTTATCGTGCAGAGTATTCTTTTTTTTTTTCAAATGACATCTATACTGTGTTTTAACTTCCTTTTTTTTTTCTTTGCAATAAGTTTAATCATCATGTGTGAACATAAATTTGTTGCTGTTGTTCATGTTCTTCTATTTATCAGCGGTTTTTTGTTTTACTAATATTATTGCTATTTTTTAGATTTTTACTACTGTACAGTGAGAACAATGCAAAAATTAATTATTTTTATTCAAAAAAAATTATGATTTGTTTTCTTATTATTAATAACATTTGACACATTTGCAGGTTTTCTCTTTTTTTTTTTCGTTGTTGTTGTTGTTGTTGTAAACGGTTCTAGAATATAATTATAAACGAGTAACTAAATAATTAGAAGTAACTTGAAAAGCTAAATCGTTTAGTTTGTCAGTTCATCAAAACAGTTATTACAGAAATAACAGTTATAAAAATAAGTGATCGAAAGAACACTGAGATGAACAGACTTACATATCGACACACAGACAGCGACAACAAACAGTGACCAACGTTTACAGTTGGCAATTACTTAGTCTCATTTTTCACTGAGCCTCAGATACAGGCAAATTTAATGATTTTTTCTTTCATCAACAAGCGACAATAAAAGAGTTGAGAATTTCCTCGTTTTTGTAACCTCCATTTCGCCAAGTTGATATCATTACACAGATGAAAACCACCAGTTGATTGGCTATATTTGTAGAATTTGTTAGTTTAGGTGCAGCACAAAGTTGGATTTGGGTATTCTATAATCTGCAAAATTAAATGGCAGTTTTTTTTTTTTGAACAAGTTATTTTTTGTAAAGTTAAATTTGAAAAACAATTTTTTTTTGTCACTGTTGTTTTTGCTGTCGTTGTCTTATAAAAATCAGAATATTCTCATTTTTTTTTCCACTCTTTCTTTTCATTTTTTGTTTAAAATGTAAAATTCGGATAATAGGAAAAAAAAGAAGCTTAAGTAAAATACTAAAAATTTTTAAAGCGGTCTTTTATTTTGCTCGTTGTTTTTTTTTTTTTCGGCTCTTGGTCTTCTTATTCCTATTTATAGCGTTTGTTCAAAAAAGAAGAAAAAAATTAGTTGAAATTTCTTCAAGCTTGTTATGAAAAAAATGTCAAAAAAGGCCAGTTTTCTTTCTTTTATTCATTCTCATAGTCTCGTCTTATCGCTTGCTATGCAGCAAAATTTGAAAAACTAAGCAAAATCTGAACTTCTTCATCCGCCAATTCTTCTTTTCCTGTCTTCCTCTCTCATCTCTTCTCTCCTCCCCCCTCCCCCCAACCGCAATCCTCCCCGCTCCCCCCTCCTCCCCCGTTGATGCCACCACTGAAGTCTGATCCAATCGTTGGTTGCTATTATGAGTGCCAAAAAAAAATACTGATGCGTTTCTATTTACTCAGTTATATAAATTTCATATGTACCGTGCCAGTCAATGACCATTTGTTCAGCTCTGCAAAATTTAAATTAGTATTTGAAGAAAAAAAAACAACAAGAAAAAAAAGGAAAGAAAGAAAACGAAAAAACGAGGAGGAAGGGATGAAGAAGAAACAAAACTGCTGCTTTTCTTCATAAACTTTTAAAGTAAAGTATAAAACTGAAAAGTTGCTTTAATTTTTTTTGGTTTTTGAACTGATACATTATAAATTTTATATACCTGCATTTTTGTATTATAAGAAGAGTGTGGAAAGACATTCATTAGTTATTCTGTTAATGTCAAATAATTTATTTTCAGTTAACCGTTATTTTTCGTTACGCAAATAAAAAAAAGCAAAAAAAAAAAAAAAAAAAAAAAAA